ATTCCTGGGCCCTGGGCTGCCTTGAGAGATAAGATGTCATGCTTTTGCAGTGGAGAAGCGGATTCTGGGGAAGGGACCTTTCCTTTGCAATGAGTAAACTCCAACATGACCTTGTTTCTTAAACTGCAGAGCTTTGGCTTCTCTGAGCCTTTTGCTGAGTATTTGTGCAACAGAAAAATGGGTGTAGCTGCAGTGTTGTTGAGTGCTTTTGCTATTCTTTCAAAACCTATTTCTAAGCAACTGATAGCAAAAGATCGACATAGCAATGGAAGAGGCATCATCCTTTTGCTCCAGACCCTTGGTGTGCATGGCAAGCCGGTTTGGTTAGATTTCAGGTCTTGGCACATGGCGTTATTAGAAAGCTCACTGCTTGTAGCAAGTAGCCCAGTGTATAGCAGTGATTACCAGTGAGATCGGTGCTTTTCACCGAAATCTGCCTTTCCAGCACAAAGCTGTACCTTGCTCTTGCGCAGAGGCGGGCTGAGAACTCCCCATGCTGCTCTAGCAATCGTGACATCCTGTCTAGACCCAACGGGTGATGCTGTCTTGTGTAAGGCACTGAGCAACATGACAAAAGGCTTTGGGAGGATCTGAGCAGAGCAGAAATAAAGCTTTCCTGTGTTGAAGATAATTGTGCACTGAACTAGCCAGGGAGCGAGAGCTACACAGCTCCTCTGGGAGATAACTGTTGGTCATCTGTTGGCTTTCTAGTCTGTGAGCAGAAAAGGCAGCTATTTGCACCTAGAGAGTAAATGAGTGCCAAAGAGCCAGAGGATTAAGTGCTGAGTACAGTTTCCAAAGGTACCTTGTGTCTGTCCATATGTAATTGTGTGTGGTGAGTGGGTACAAAATGGCCTAGGGAAAAAAAAAAGTCAGGTTTTTATATTTCCTTTTGAGTTTCCCCTTTCCTCTTGGGTGGGGAGAGATGTATTTTGCTTTCCTATAGAGATGTATGCTTAGATATGCTGGTGGGAGACAGGGATTTGGCTCCCACTGCACTGGCTAGGGTCCAGCGTGAGTGATATTTGTTATCTGGGATGACAGTAAAATAGCAGTGAAGAGAGATGCCGCTGACTCAGTTGTACTGTGGCTTATTAACCAAGTTCTGACTCAGCCTGCAAAATTCAGAGTTTTTTTAGATTAGCCCCCACTGGACAAGGCAAGGCTGAGTTGAAGATGACACATTTTTTTAACAGCGTTGTGATAAAGCTTGCAGAATGGGTGCTTGCGTTCCCCTTGGGTATGGGTGGTGGTGCAGAGACACTAACGTGGATTTAATGCTCCCCGTGGCTTTTGGTAACCTGGAAGGAGAGCAGGGAGAGGGTTTTGCCTGTGTTCTTCTGCCCCAGCTGCTGCATATAAACTCAGTCTTGGAGACTGAGTTTGATCAAGCTGGAGAAGCCTGTTTTTAGAGAGCTGCCTGATGAGACCAGATGTGCCAAACACACGATTAGCGGGGAGAGTGGCAGTGTGATCCCTTTCCTGCCAGCCTTTTGCTGTGTGCCTTCTGTCCTCTGAAGCCGATTTCTCCCTCTGCCTTTGCTTTGCCAAGTGCTCGTAACAGTGTCTGGCTGCGTGCTGTGAGCACCGCTGCCTTGGGAACTTGGCTGCTCCCACACAGCCAGCACAGAGTAACTAGGCTCCTACCGCTCTTAATGTAGGAGTAATTTTTGGTTTGTGATACCAAGACTGCTGGGCTCTATGGGCTATGAAGGGTCTGTGAAAGGGGACTAAGGAAAGCATATTTCTTCTCACTAGGCTAAAACATACTGTGTTGAGTCTGCATTGCTGTGGGAGATCTCTCAGGAGCTCACACACTGAAAGAGGTTGATAATTACTGATCTCGCTTAATAAAGAAAGGAAAATGTATCCCATGCCTCCTACTCTCACTGACATTGTCCTGGGCTAAGGCAGTGCCAAGATCTTGCACCCATTAAGGAGAGGGCAAAGCAAAGGGACAGGGGGTTTCCACAGCCCTGAATAAGGAGCCAGAGCTGGGCTCCTCGTCTTCCTGGACTGCCTTGGGAGAGAGGGGCTTTGCTGGGGAGTGACTTGCAACAAGAACTTGCCTGTTCCTGCTGCCCTCTCCCTGGCTGCTCCAGCCCCTTTGGCTGCCTGCTCTGGGTTTCACATGCTGGTTCTTTGCAGCTGGGGGTTGATGGTGCTGAGGCAGGAATCCTGCACTGGCTCAAGCATGTTCCTGTGGTAATCTGGAGTTCAGGCAAAGGACTTGTTCTCCACGCCCCTAAGATCCCAGTGTGGGAGCAGCTCTGGGATGGGGAGGAAGTGCTGCACCCAGCTTGAGATTTGAAGAGCACTGGATTTCTCCACTTGACTGCGGAGAGACTGGGAACTACTGCCTCGAGCACATGCTGCGCTGTGAGCCCACTGTGAGCAGGTTTCCTGCCTCCATGGGCAGAGTCGGCCCACGCTCCTCCCTCAGAGCCGGTCATTTCCCCTCCATCAGCTCCCACTGGGGCCCTGCAGATGTTGTATGTTCACTTGTCAAATCTCTATCCAGCTCTGATCTGCGTCTGTGGTACGCTCTTTGACGTACGAGGCAACTTCTTACTCACCCTGAGTGAGGAAGCTTCTGCTTCCCCACTGCGTGTCGCTGAAGGACGCGGTCGTGTCTGCAGTCATGCTTCCAGGTGGTCACGAAGATGCTGAGCTGCACAGGTTAACCCAAGAAGGAGCTCCTCCACAGAGGAGAGTGGTCCACAGAGAGGTAAGATCAGTGTCCCAGGGTGCTTCTTTCTTACACGCAGAAATGTATTTCACATGTACACGCTAACCGTCGCGAGCATGCACACCCACGCAGAGCCTGCCAGCCACAGGGTGTGGGAGTGTTTCGAGGTGTTTATGACTCAAGCTCAAGAACGCATTGTTAAAGCAAGGCTTTGCATTTTGTTCTGGTTGCTGCTGATTTTCAAGTGAAATGGGCAGAGACGTGCCGAGCACTGTCCTACCTGCTGAGAGCATAAAGGGAACAAAAGCTGCCATGAAACCTTACAGCCGAGAGAAATGCCTTTGTAATTTTAGAAACAGAGCTGCTGTGGAAACAAGATGTTGTATAAGTGCTCCTCAGTGGTGGTGCAAGCCTAATGCTTCAGCCATCCCTGCGGGACAAGGTTGGTCTGTAATTTGAAATAAAAGGGACCTGGCTTTCACTGCGTGCTGTAAAAGGCAGAAAGTGAACTGGGACCAGAAGCTGAAAGGCACAATCGGGCTGCCACGGTTACCTGGCACAGGAAAAGCAGGTGCTCCGCTCTCCTGGGTGTGCAGGAAGAGGCTGGGCCCTCCAGCCTGGTGGGTACAGCAGCGTCAGTGCTTTTTCTGTGACGTGGGCTGTGGAGGAGGTATTGCTGATTGCTGTGTGAGGGAAATGTGCTCGGTGCCTTCTGGAATGCTGCTTTTTGGGATTGTGCCTGTGTTTTTGGAAGCTGCTCCCTAGTACCGTTACAATGAAGGTCTGCCATCCCTCAAGAGTGGCTGTCAGCGTGACTGATGTTAGAGGCACAGCAAGCCATCTCCACCCCAAACAGGCTGGGGAACTGGCAGGTTGCTCCCTCACCCCATGATAGATGAGGGCAAGTGGGAATTTGAAACGATCCCTGACTTGATTTCCCTGTTATCCAGCTGTTGATGTGACCCTGCAGTCTGTCCCTCAGCCCAGCCTCTTGCACAGCTGCCTCCGTGCCAAGTGTTCATCCCTCCTCACTGTCTGCTCTTTTGCAGAGCTCTTGCTGGAGGAGCTCACAGCCTTTTATAGCCATGCCTGGACCAGGCCTGTCGTCTGGGATGGCTATCTGCCCCGCGTGCGCAGGGGAACTTTCCAAATCTTTCCAGAAAGGGCTGTGTATTTTTTGGGTGCAGGACAGCAACCTGCCTGCCATGCCCTGAGCTGTGCTGGAGCTGCTCACTGATCGGGAAAGCCAAAACGTGGTGTAGACCAGGAACCTAGGTCACCGATGACTGTGTTAGACCTGAGCATCATCCCAGGCAGCCTGTGCTGAGATGGGAGGTCAGCCCTGGTCTCCAGGTGTCTGTGCTGCAACCCCACCACCGCTCACCCTATGCCGACAGAAATGACCTTTAGCAGTGGTCTGCTCATAGGAAGCTGCAACCAAGGCTGCACGCTGCTTCAGCCAAGCGGAAAGCTGAGCCCGGACAGGCAGTCTGCTTTCTATGTGGTCTCATCCTGTATTCTGCAGGATACTCCCAGTCTTGTGTGATGCAGAGGTGTATCATGCTAGGCAGCAAGTTCATTTCAGGGCTGGGAGGAAGTCAGTGCTGTAGGTTGCCTCTGGGAACTTGCCAGATACTTGAGGCTAGGTATGGTATTTACTAAAGCTAACCACATCCAAATAAAATAGAAGCTTTGCCATGAGCCCTTTTCCTGCGCACTGAAACGTTCCTTGTGCTTTCCCTGTTCATCTATAGAAATCCCCTGAGCTCTGGCCTTTGCAGTCTCTCTACTCAGACTGCCTCTGTTACAGTCACTTTAAGCCGGATGCAGTTTGTACTTTTTAATATTAATGAACTTGAACCACTGGATTGTGGCTCAATAGAATAGGAAAGAACAATGTTAGACCAGCTCAGCAGATAGCTCTGTGTCTGGCATTAGATATGTATCTCATTTACGTTAGCAGCCTGTGATTTCATGCAAACATGCTGCCAAGGAGAATCAAGGTGAAACACCAGGGATGTGGTCCTGGTGACAAGACAAGCCCAAGACAGGCAAATGAGACAGATGCCCACTGATCAGCTCTTGCCTTGGGGCTTTGGCTGGTGGAGGAGTGGATGTGGGCTGAGGGGCTGGAGCAAGGAGAGAGGCTGTGCAAGAGACCCTGAAGGCTTATGGATAATATGAAACGCCACTGAGCAGGACCTTGGGAGCCAGGCTGCTGCCCGAGGATGAGTCGTGTGGAGGAAGCACTGTGCGTGACCCACCAAGACTACCAGCAGATGGGGAAGCACCCTACAGCACCCCAACTGCCATGTCCACCTTGCTTGTGGGTATCAGGTGGAGTGATGTCCAGCCAAAGGACAGGTATGTGTGTCTTCAGCAGGTTGGGGGGGAGTTGCAACGTGACTCAGGGTTTAAGTGGCCCTCGGAGAACCCAGCGGATGGGACAAGCAGCGGCTGGAGGTTGGCTGTTGGCCAGAGGTGCGTATCATTTCTCAGGTGGGCTTGTTCCCTGGTGTCTCGGCTGCAGGAGAAGCCAGGACTGACGCTCTGCAGAAAGGTTTGCTATGCTGTTGGGGGCATTCCCTACCAGATGACAGGCAACGCCCTTGGGTTTTTCCTCCAAATCTTCCTGTTGGATGTTGTGCAGGTGAGTGGCCACATGAGATGGGGTTATCTGCAAAGGAGCTTAGCATAAGCCCAGCAGACTGGGGCAAGGGTAGAGTTTGGTGGGTGGTCAAAGCCCGTGGAAATAAATGCTTATCAGAATTAAGTATTCAAACTGGATCAAAATCATGTGATGTAAACATTGTTGGTGGGTGTGCAGGAGACGTTTTCGGGCCATTTCAGTGCTTGGAGTGGTCTCCAGAGGTTGCAGATGAAACGTTGGCTAGAGCAAGCTGGATCGTGCTGACTGTTTGCAGCTTTTTGCCAGGACTTCTTTCCCTTTTGAGCTGCGGTTTCCATTTCCCCCAGCTGGATCCATTCCATGCCTCTCTGATAATTTTCCTTGGAAGAGCTTGGGACGCAGTTACTGACCCTGCTATTGGCTTCCTGGTCAGCAAGAGCCCAAGGACAAAATATGGCAAGTTGGTCCCATGGTGAGTGTCCAGGCTGGAGCCTTAGAAGGGTCTTTGCTGGGCTCAAATTCCTTCAGTGCTAGCACAAGGAGGTAGCTGGGATGCCTCATTGGGAGTTTAATGTGATTGGGAATTACAAAACTTTAACATCACAAGGACACTTTAACATAACTTGCAGTGAGGTCCATATCTCATTGCAATGAAAGAAGAGGAATGTACTGCAAACTTGTATACTTGCTGTTTCTGAGGCCTCACGTGGGCTTAAGCGCTCTGAGAGTCCCACGCAGTGGTACGTACAGAGTTTAGTAGTCAGCTCTGCCAGCAGGTCTCCACCAGGCTTTAACCACAGGCAAATCTTGCACATAGAGGGTTACGGCTGCCCCCAAGGTTCTGCTGCAGGGCAAGGACTTGAAGTGGTTAAACAAGAGAATAAGAAATGTTGTACAACTTGGACATTACTTTTTCTCACAACCTTTGTGTTTAGCTACCCCCAGCCTGACTGATGGACAGGACTGATGGAATTTTGAGCAAAGCTGCTTCCTCTTGCAGATCTTGATCTTGCAGTAGCTGGGTTGTGGTTTGGAAGCTGGGGAAGAGACTGTGCTACGTAGCTCAGATTGTGCAATGAGAAGTGTGACCACCTTATCTGAGGGTCACATCTGACCACCTCTGCTTCTTCCCCAGGATTGCATGCTCCATGCCATTTGGGGTGCTCTGCTACTGCATGATGTGGTTCACCCTCTCGGATGCCACCCCCACCTCCCTGAAATTCCTGTGGCACCTGTTCATGTACAGCTTCTTCCAGACTTGCATGACGGTAAGGAACATGGTGCCTGGGGCTGACTGTCTTACACATCATCCTATACAGCAAGGAATGGGGACACGGTCAGCTGGGGAGTATTAGCCCCAGCCTCTCCAGAAAGGGACCTGGAGCGTTGTCTGGGAGAACTCTGGCTGGGGAGCGGTGAGGGATGCAGAACGTTGCCAACCATCCCTGCAGGGATGGTGAGATGGAGTGGTGCATTTGAATGCTGAGGATTTGGCTGGGCTGCCTGTGTATGGTGATGTGAACTTCATCACAGGTTTGTGGGAATGCAGAAAATCACAGAAGATGGTGAAAAGCCACCTATGTGCAGGGGTGTCACGGAAGGCAGCGTTATCTGCTGTGTGTAGGGACGAGGGGGGTCATGACCAGCAAAACAAGGAAGCAGCAGCCGGAACTGTGTTTGAATTATGCTCTCCCTAGTGCCACCACGTGCCGTACTCTTCCTTGACAATGTTCCTGGGAGGAACCCAGAGAGACCGTGACTCGGCCACTGCCTACAGTAAGTGTCTGTGCCCCTACAACCCCAGTCTGCCTGTGTTCCTGGGAGACCCTCCCCAGAGGAGAGGTGAATAAGTTCATCTGGCTTTGATCAGGCTGCACAGTGGATGGGGTAAACCAGGGATATGAAAAGAGGGATGAAACCAGTCATCTGCTGCAAAGAATTTGCCTGCAGAAACATTTCTTAGATCTGTGTCATCCCTAGGGGACTCAGGACACAGATTTATTGGTTTCAAACATTAGAGCATTTACTGTTGGAGCCAAGGGAAAAAATCAGAGCAGGTAGAAATAGCAGATCTTTTTTTCTGGGGCAGCTCTGGATGTTGATGCCTCCAATTCTGTTCCCAAAGCTGATCTCTTACCCTGTCTGAGGGATGTGTCCCATCAGCCAGGGAGTGGGACTGAGGTTTCTCTCCTGGTTTTCCTGGCAGGAATGGGGATGGAAGTGTTCAGCACACTCCTTGGGTCAGGAATCCAGGGGCAGATTGTTGGCAGATACCATGCCCACATGATGAACGGCTGTTACATGTCAAATGAGACCCTGCACAACACCAGCATCTACAGCCTCACCAGTTCTCTGGAGAACACGGTAAGGGCTGGCCCGGCTGCCCCTCTGCTCCTCCCGTAAGGTCTGGGGCAGGTGCTGCTGGCTGTGCTGCCAGCTCTGTGTGTGGTACCCACATTGTCACTGTGCACTGTCTCTTGTTTTCCAGCGTAGGGCCTATGTATTTGCATCCCTGGCCCTGGGCTCAATCTATTGCCTGTCCTGTCTGATTCTCATCTTTGGAGTCAGGGAGCAGCCTGGTAAGGTCCATTTAGATGCAATTTTGGAGGGTGCCCAGTGGCAGTGGATGGTGAGGATGAGGTTGCAGAGGAAGGTGTGAGGCAGAGGAGCTGGGCTTCTGTGTGGGGGATGGCTCTCTGGGTGTGGGGCTCAGAAACACAACACATACTTGGATGCTGAGACCCTCCTTGGTCTGTGCTGGCAGCATCTTGCTCCTGCAGAGGAGAGGGGAGATGGAGAAAGGAAGGCTCCAGCTGCCTGGGAGCTCCTGCAGGGAGCCCTGGGCCTGGGTCTGTAGCTCACTGCTTCACACGGAGCCAGTCTCACCAACACACAGCCTGCAGAGCTACACAGGCCAGCCCGAGCGTGCAGTGTAAAGAGTCAAAATCCTGCCCATAGCTGACACCATGGCTGTTGTCTCTGCGCTGAGATGTCAGACTCCAATAGCTCCTCACCCACCTGAGTTGCACCCCAGACATAGCGGCACAATCCCCCTGTGCCTCCCATCCCGTTGCATTTTTTCTGGCAGCTCCAGTGCCAGCCCTGCTGTCTCTCCTCTCAGGACCCCTCAGCCCCCTGGGGAAGGTTGAGCTGCCCTTTGCCAGCTGCTTGAGGATGATCATGGGACACAAGCCCTACACCCAGCTGCTGTGTGGCTTCCTCTTTGCATCCCTGGCCTTCCAGGTACGAGACCTGCCATGGCAGTAGGAGAACTTGGGTGATGAGATGTCTGGGCAAGTTATCTAGTCAGTGAACTTGGGACCCCCAGACATGAAACTCTCCATGTTCCTTTCTCAGATCACACAGGGGATCTTTGCCTTCTTCTGTACTCATGCCGCAGGGCTGGCAGGGAAGTTCCAGCATTTAGTGCTTATCATGTTGGTAAGTGAGCCCTGAGGAGGCCTTCCTGGTGGAGGGGGTTGATCCCTGGGTCACCCCAGCCCTCGAGCATGGGCAGCTCAGCCTCGTGGAGTCATGCATTGCTGCTTCTGCCCATCAGCAAGGATGTCACCAGGCAGAGACTGGCAGTCCTGGGAGGCATTTCTAAGACCCTCGCCTTTGTTCTCTCCTCAGGTCACAGCTTCCCTCTCTATTCCCTTTTGGCAGTGTTTTTTGAGGAGATTTGGGAAGAAAACAGCAGCATCACTGGGCCTGGCAGTGAGTTTGCCCATGGTTGTGGGGCTGTGGACTGAGAAGCCCTGTGAGGGGAAGCCTTGCCCCTAGCCGCTCATAGTGTCTGGGGAGAAGAGCTGGCTGAGATGGCCCTGAGTGCAGTGTCCTCTGCACTGCAGGTGACTAGGAGTTAAGCCAGTAGTTGATAGCAGCTCTGCACTTCCTTGTATCTGGTCACTGCTGGTATCAGTGGCCATGGCTTCACAGAGCTTTGTGCCGAGGGATCGTCCCTGGGATAGTGGGGAAATGATTTTTTTGCAGCGTCACGCAACCAAGGGCTCGAGCTCCAAGACTCTGTGGCTGCAGATCTGGTGAGCAGTGTGTGATCAGATACTGTACCAACGCACCAGTTTCATGTGCTCACACAAACATCATCCTGTGACCTCTGTACTGCTCCAGGATCTTGCATGCTTGACGCAAGCTATCTGAGTTCTGCCAGCCAGTTCCATGAGAGGCATGGGTGAGGGAAGGAAGGGCTGTGCACCACTCTTGGTAGTGGCTAGGAAACAGCCTGCTCATCAGACATGCATCCCGGCTGCTGCCTGGCTCTCCAGGTCAGCAAGGAAATCCCATTTAGGGTTTCTTTTCAGAATTAGGTCCTAAAATCCCACTGAGGATCTATCTTCAGATGCCTTCCTCACAGACATTGGGTGCAATCCATAGCAGATCCAGCCTTCCAGTTTAAACGTCCGGCTCCATTGCCCTCCATAACCATCTCTTCTTTACCCATGAGGAAGGTTTCACTGCCAGTGTCAGCCTGTCCAGGGCCTCCACGCTGCACTGCACAGGGAATGGGAGCAGTTCTGTTTATGAAATGTGTGGGGAAAGGGGAAGCGTGGCCTTTGGTTGGGCAGAGGAGAGCAAGCGGCCTGTGAGCAGCAGAGAGGACCTATGTGCTTTTGTTTTTTCTTTTCCTCTTGCTGCGCAGCTGATCATCCCAGCCCTGGTAGCTGTCACCCAGGTGATGCACAACTTCCTGGCCTTCGTCTTCCTGGTGATCATGGCAGGCTGCAGCATGGCTGTGCTCTACCTTTTACCGTGGTGAGCAGAGGCACCTCTGAGCCGCTTGTCAGGTGGAGAGGAGGGGAAGGTTTTGGGGAAAGCACTACCCATGATGTGCCAAAACTGCCTGTTTGCTCAATACGGCGGCTTTTGAGCTGCAGAGAGACACGCGAAGGTGGGACTGGGAAGGGATGTGGATGTGATCCGTGGTCCCCCAGCAGCATCGATCAATCTGTGATTGGGTTCAGGAGCAGGATGCCAGTCATTGCACAAGGCGTTGTTTTTCTCCTCCTTTTCTGAAGCAGCTGCCGCACCCTCTCTGTAAGACGCTCTCTGCCCTGTTTGCCTAAGGCAGAGGACAGGCACAAAACGGTCTCCAGAGTGGGGTTCTGCAAGGGATTTGTCTCTCTCTGCTGCCTGGAGAGGCCTTGCAGCAGCTGCATGTGCTGGCGTGGGTGTCACCAACGCGTCTGTGGGGCTGTCTGTCCCCAGGTCCATGCTGCCAGATACGGTGGACGACTTCATGCTGAGGAACCCCAGCTGCCTCAACCTGGAGGCTCTCTTCTACTCATTTTATGTCTTCTTCAACAAGTTTGCAGGTGGCCTTGCTGTGGGGATATCGACGCTGAGTTTACAGTAAGCCACAAACACTACCTCCCCTATTTTGTCAGCCCAGCACAGGCACTTTCTACTGCTGTTTTCTAGAATGTCTGATAGGAGATGCTGGAATGAGTTACAGGGGTATCCAAATTTGCCTTTCTAACATCTACTGGGAGCAAGAGGACCAGATGGTTTTGGTATTCCCCAAAACTGGGCTTCTGATACCAGACTCTAGAGGACAGTGATGGAGGTGCCTGCTTGCCTTTCTGCAGTGACCTGGTGGGGCTGGGGGAAGGAAAACCATTCTCCTCTTTAGTTTTGCAGGTTACCATGTTGGAGACTGCACATACAACCCCTCAGTCATCCTGGCCCTGCAGCTGCTCATGGCCCCAGTCCCAATAAGCCTGTTGCTCATTGCCATAGTCATCTTCTGCCTTCATCCCATCAATGAGGAGAGGAGGAAGCAGATGAGAATGGAGATGGAGACAATGGGGTAACTTCAAGTTCCCTGAAGGAGTTGGGTCACATAGCACTAATCTGGGTGTCTGCCTTAGTCCTAGCCTGACACAGAAATGTTGTACGGTGGAGGGACTGCGTGTGTCCAGTCCAGGTCCCTGTGGTTGGGCTGAGATCCTCTCTAGGGGTGCATTTCCTGAAGGGTTTGGGGATATTTTTGGGGCTGCTGACTTCACACCAGATGTCATGAGTGCTCGTGTGCCTTTTAACAGGCATCAGGTACAGCCCGGTAGCAGAGAATTAACCCAGGCCTGAAGTGGGTGAGTTCATCGGGAAGGACATGGATTTGCTGTGCTGTCAGGATGTGCTGCTGTTGGGGAAACTCATCGCTTCCTGTTGTTTCCTGTTCCCTGTCCCAAAGGCCTGGTTTGCATCCTGACCCTCTCCCTCTCCCAGCTGGCAGGCACAGGACAGTGAGGGGGTCCTGCTGCAGCCACCTCACCAGAGCTGCTTTCTCCAGGGCTTGGCCTCAATGGTCTTTTGGCAGGTCCTGACAGATCTGGGCAAGGCAGATCCATGTTCTCCTTCTGGGAGGGACTGCAATGCCAGGGAGGAAAGGTGCCCACCAGCCTCGGACCAGTGCTCGCACACACTGGGGTGCAGAGGTGTCACTTAACCTTGTGTGAAAGCATGCACAAAGAACCCAGGGATTGCTTTGGAGAGGAAACTATTTTTGACCAGGTTTTAGGGGAAATACTGCTGAGATAGTCTAAGCACAAATACATGCACTGCCATTTCACAGAGACAGGTTTAGAATTTCTTTGAACAAGGGTGAAGTTCAAACCAGCGGTGTTTTAAAGCATATGCAGAAACAACGACATCTGGCAGTAGGGTGGTGGAAACTAGCTCTGTCCATCTGGCTGGGCCTTGTTAGCTGAGTCACTTCTGGGGAACCAGGAGCTTCTCGGTGCAAGAGGCCATAGGAATGGGCTGCGCTGCCTCCGGTCAGGCAGCTGGGTGGGTTTCTGGCAGCTTGTCCTGTTTTTTGCCAGGTTGGGAAGTTATGGTAGAAGTGTCAAATGTCAAGAAGATCTGAGTCGCTTTTAAATCGTAGGCCATTGCTAGATCTCCCACAGCAGCATCTTGCAAGAGCTACTCAGCACCTCCACATCTCTCCTGGCAACAGTGAGGGGGCAGGGGGGGAAGAGAGGAGAAATCAGCCATCTCATGGCTGGTAGTGCTGAGCTGTGTTCAGCCTTGTGCAGAGGCAGAGGGTGAGGCCGGTTATTTTTAGGGCTAGAGCTGTATCTGACCGTTGGTTGACCTTGCAGCTCTCCAGTCTGGTGCACACTGGCAGGATCTGAGCAAATTACTCCCCAGTTGTGCGCTGAATTAATTTTAAGCCTTAAGTCTTGCGATGCAACTTTGCAATCAGTGGGGGAGATGGTGTTTTAGAGCTGCATCAGGGTACCTGCAGGATCATCGCAGCAGTCCAGATTCAGAACGATTTCTCAGATGCCTTTTTTTTCTCTTTTTTTTTTCTTTTTTTTTTTCTTTTTTTGTTGTTTTGTTTTCTGGAGTGTGAAGGATGTCCCTTGGGATCGCCTGACTAAGCCCACAGCCAGGTGTTGGGATGCACTGCCCTCTGCCACCACACTGCTTTCGGCCTCGTTGCCCGTGGATTTATGAACAAGCAAGTGCCTTTGAGCATCAAGGAAACGCTCCGATTGCTGAGAGCTTAAAGCCCTGCAGAAGGCATGAATTGTCTTCAAACGCATGTGCTCCTTGGGACAGAGGAGCGGGCTTGATCTGGAGCTCCCAGCCTGCAGCACGGGCTGTGAACGGGCCATGGGCCGCTGCAGAGTGAGACCTGACCTGGTGCAGAGCAGGGAGCTGCTGCTGGCGTGCACGGTGCTTGCCAACCCTGGTGCCGCCTGGGGTGGTGCTGCTGTGTATCAAACAATGTCCCATTTATTTTTTACAGTATTAAATCTGAACAGTCATGCTTTTTCCTCTTGGTATTTCTTATTTTGTGAGTTCTGCCAGCGGATGATCCAGAAGGCAGGGAGCAGTTTGGGCAGAATTCACTTGTTTTCAAAACTTTGTGTTTTCTCCAGAGTTCAAACACCAGAATCTGACCTGAACCTTTCCTGGGTCTCAACCAGCTGGACCCTGAGCAGTGAGGGGTGGTCAAACCTGGCTGAGCTCCTTGTCCCTGGTGATGTACTGGTTGTTGCAGTGACTTGCTTGCTGGCAAGATGAGCAGGGTATGCCAGGGAGCAAAAAAAAACCCCAAACCTCAAAACACCCCACCCAGGGCGAGAGCTGCCGTGTCTGACTCGTCCAAGCGTGCCTGCGCCAGCATGGCAAGGGCTCTAGCATGGGCATACATGAAGCAGTATTTTGTTTATTGCTGGCCCTCTTTAAGGAAATAGCATTAAACAGGAGGGATGAGAGCGTACCCTTTTTTCTCCTGTTATTTTTCATTTCACGGGTGTTCGTGGAAAGTTGGGGACCACAGGCACCATCTATGTGTTGCAGATTCAACATAGAAAAATAATGCTTTTCTATAAAGCAGGGAAAAAAACAAACTATCTTGGTACTTCAGTATTTAAAAGATGCAAGCAAGGAATAGAAGCAATTAAAACTTGTTTCATCCCATTATCTGTTATTTTAAGAATCTCTTCCTCTTGTGTCCCATTTTAATGCACTTGCTGAGAATACTGACTTTTTATTAGTCTCTTGGCTGTCCTTGGAACTTCTGTTCCCTTGTGGACACTCAAGTTTGTCTCCTTGAAGTAAGGAAATAGGACACTTTTGAGGCAAAAATCCTGTGCCTGCAGTGATTCTTTTTTTACCAAAAAAGAAAGTAGTTGCTGTTCCCAGAAGAAAGGCCTTTTGAATGTGGGATTGTTCAAACCTGTGTGTCTTCTGCTCAACCTGCCCCAGAAACACAAGGACAGCGCTGACCTCTGCCAGCGCTACGAGGAGCAGCGTTAATACACGTCTATTGAACAGTCACTGCATATGCCCGACGCTATCTATTTAGGCTCTGCCTAGTCTTGGGAACTGTAGCAATAATTAAGTCTTGCCTGAGCCCGGGGTGTGTGGCCAGTCCCTGCTGGCACCTCGGGGTCCCGGCGCCTCCACAGCGGCCTGCACC